GGCTCTTCCTCACTCCTACAAGATGTTATTCCTCCTTGCCCTATACACGAAATCACAGCTTCCCTATCTTCATCAACATTTAACAATTCCTCAAAATATTCCTTCCATCTTCCCAATACCTCTAACTCTCCATTTAATAACTCCTCTCCCTATTTTAACTGACAAATCCATTTGTTCTCTAGGCTTTCTTAACTTGTTAATCTCACTCCAAAACTTTTTCTTATTTAAAACAAAATTTGTTGATAACATCTCACCCACTCTCTCATTTGCTCTCTTTTTACATTGCTTCACCACTCTCTTAACTTTCTCTTTTCTCCATATACTCTTCCCTCCTTGCATCATTTTCTACTTTGTAAAAACTTCCTCATATGCTAACTTTTCTCCCTTACTACTCTTTTTACATCATATTCCACCAATCGCTCCTCTTCCCTCCTGCACCCACTTTCCTGTAACCACAAATTTTCTGCTGAACACTCTAACACTACATTTTTAAACCTACCCCATACCTCTTCGACCCCATTCCCATGCTCTCATTAGCCCACTATCCTCCAATAGCTGTTTATATCTTACCCTAACTGCCTCCTCTTTAGTTTATAAACCTTCACCCCCTCTCTTCCCTGATGCTTCTATTCTCCTTGTATCCCATCTACCTTTTACTCTCAGTATAGCTACAACTAGAAATGATCTGATATATCTGTGGCCCTCTATAAACATGTACATCCTGAAGTCTACTCAACATCTTTTATCTACCAATACATAATCCAACAAACTACTGTCATTTCGCCCTACATCATATCGTGTATACTTATTTATCCTCTTTTTCTTAAAATATTATACCTATAACTAAACCCCTTTCTATACAAAGTTCAATCAAAGGCTCCCCTTATCATTTACACCTGGCACCCCAAACTTACCTCACACCCTCTCTAAAAGTTTCTCCTACTTTAGCATTCAAGTCCCTACCACAATTACTCTCTCACTTGGTTCAAAGGCTCCTATACATTCACTTAACATCTCCCAAAATCTCTCTCTCTCCTCTGCATTCCTCTCTTCTCCAAGTGCATACAAAGCTTATTATGACCCACTTCTCGCAAACCCAAACCCTTTTCTTTAATCCACATAATTCTTGAATTTACACATTCATATTCTCTTTTCTCCTTCCATAACTGATCATTTAACATTTCTGCTACCCCTTCCTTTGCCTAACTCTCTCAGATACTCCAGATTTAATCCCTTTATTTCCCCCCACTGAAACTCTCCTACCCCCTTCAGCTTTGTTTCGCTTAGGGCCAGGACATCCAACTCCTTTTCATTCATAACATCAGCAATCATCAGTTTTACTTGTCCATCCGCACTACATCCCACGCACATATAAGCAACCCAGTTTTAAAAGTTTTTCTTCTTCACTTTTTTAGTATAATTAGTATACAGGAGAAGGGTTTACTAGCCCATTGCTCCCGGCATTTTTCCGCCACATACGCCACGCATGGCTTACGGCGAAAGAATTCTCTTCCACTTCCCCATTGACAATAGAAGATATAAAAAGAAACAAAGCTATTTAGAAAAAAGAGAAAAACCTAGATGTATGTATATATATATATGCATGTCGTGTCTGTGAAGTGTGACCAAAGAGTAAGTAGGAGTAAGCAAGATATCACTGATCTCTTAGCGTAGTTAATGAGACGAAAAAGAAAACCAGCAATCCTACCATCAACCAAACCAGTTAACAGGTTTATTGTTTCACCCGTCATCTGGCAGACGTATTACTTCCCTGGGTGAAGATAAATAAAATTGTAGGATCTGTGCATGTACTCAAAGTGGTATTTGAGCTTATGTAATCCACAATATTTCTAACGATATTTATTTTATCATTAATAAAGTTGAATATTCTGCAGTTCAGTTTTATGGCCCCTAAACGTTTTCTCATAGTTAAAACATTTGCATTCTGGTCATGCAGTAGTGACACTAACTGAGTATACTCCCCCATCCCCCACCCTTGATTTTATTGAGGAGACACCAAAGATGCTGCCCGGGTAACACCAAATTCCACCCTGGGTGACCACAAACTCTAGCGATGCCGCTGTTCCAACTTCAACCCCAGATATATTTGTTGCAGGGTGATTTCAACTGAAACACCTAAAATGAAGGAATGTGCAAATAAACCTGGCCGAGATAACCCCAGAGACAGCTCGATAAAATTCGCACACACAAGATATTAAATCTCTCACCAAATTCACCTTAAGCCACAAAACAGTGGAGCCCACAAGAATGGAAATACACTTGACCTTAAGGTTGAGCACTTATGCCAATATATGGGAAACTTTATTCAGGAAACGCTTCACCACACCAGAGGCTTCATCAGTCCAGTACAAGCAGAAGGTGTAAGTAGAGGAGTTTGAGGATTCAGTCCCACACCTAGAGTCGATGATTCAGTCCATCAATCTTTGTAGAATATACAGCAAAGGGCCGTAACATGGCATATATACTGTAGTCCAGTGAGGCGAAGCAGGTGAGGCGGGGTAATGTGGTACCATCCACTAGTCGAGTAAGGTCTTCGTCCAAAGGTTGGACCAAGTTTTGAAGAATCCTTGTACAAGATCCCATGAATGCTGCATGTCTGACGTTGTGATGAATGGTTTTTTAAAAACCCGACAAAGTTAAGATTGAGACACTTACGCAACATATGAAATAAATGGATAGGTGGATCTATACTTGCCTAACAAATAGAACACAACGAATAAAATAAACAGAGTAAAGTCGAAGTGCTACAGTGAAAAGCTCTGTCCCACAAGGTACACTAATTCGCTCCATATTTTCCTCATCCTCATATCTGACAAAGACAGGGATGTAAGTCCCAGCACCATATCCTCCTATGCTGATGATACCAGAATATGCATAACAGTATTCATCATCGAGACATTAAAGTCTCCAAGCGACATCACCCAGATCATGAATGGGTTCACAGAAAACTATGAAGTTTCAATGAAAACAAATTTCAGTTTCTCTGTTATGGAAAACTAAAGAAATAAAAACTTGAACAAGTATAAAACAAATTCTAGTCACACAATAGAGTGAAAAACTAATGAGGAGGACCTAGGAGTGGTAATGTCAGGGAAATCTCACTTTTTAACCCCTTTTCAGGGTCCATGCCGCAGTTCTACTTTTGGATTTGAGGTTCCAAACTGTAGATCTATCCATGAGGCCTCAGTTCACACTAATAAGCTGTGAGTGGTAAATTTGGGCCCTAATTGAAGAATATATCTATGTGGTATGTGTGCACCACAATAAAAGCAAATCCTGCAGCACACAGATGCATAATGAGAAAAAAAAACAGCAAATTTGCACTGTTTTTTCAAATGTTTTTTATATTTTAATTTGTGATTTCTTAGTCCTTTGATAAAGGGGAAATATATTACGAAGTAAGAGATTTTTGATTGTTTTAGACTAAAAAATGGCTTGAAACTGAGCTAAAAGTAGCATAAATGTTAAATTTCCGAGGGTTAAGAGTAAACAAAAGACCCCCAAGTAATACACCCACTGATGGGGGCTAATAACGTTCACAAATTGGGGATATTTTTTATACAATTTTTACAAATTTTCATAAATAAATCTTCTATTTTTTTTTTTGAATAAAAATTCATTAGTGAATAAAAAAACAAAATTGAATTCATTTGTAAAGCCTGAAAACAAACCAAAAGGGAAAAAGAAATGTTAATTTAGTGCTAGGAATACCTTCATTTTTTTTCTGGACCCTTTTGAAACGGAAAATTTTTTAACTTTTGTTTTAAAATTTGGGCCAAAATTTCCAATTTTCGACACTTATTTGTAGTTGGTGATTTTTTGTGCTCAAAACCCATAGAATAGAAGAATAAAATGAAAAAAGCTAAAATTTGGCAACGGTATAATGTAATTGGCCTAAAATGGGAGTCAAATTTGTAAAATCGCTGATGGTAAAAAATTTCCCGAGACTCAAAACGCGAAAGCATAATTTTTGTCAATTTTCCATCAAATTTTTCATACTTTTTTTTTTTTATTTCCCTTTAGAAAAGATTTTCTACCATTTCCCTAGAAAAAAAAAAAAAAAATTTCTTTTTAAATTTTTGGCCCTGGGCAACTTTGAAATTTTGTCTGGGACCCTGAAAGGGTTAAATATCACAAACCAACCATACGCTAGAAAAATTTAGGATCAATAATGAGAACCTTCAAAGTAAGGTTCCAAACCAAGATGAAATTCTTCAATTCTTTTTTCTCTTAGGCTGGAATATTTCTGTACACAACGTCCCCTTTCAAGCAAGCAAATATACAGAGAAATTTCACTTTACGTATAAGTAAAACAAAGCACCTAAAATTACTGGGAACAGTTGAAGTTCGTTGAGACCTTGGAATGCAGGTGAGAAACATCATGATAAAATACACTTGTAAAGTCCTTAGAGGAACTAGTCCCAAATCGTGTACATGGAAATCACTCCCTACAAAGCAAAAAAAGGCTCAGCAGTCAGTGCAACATCCCCGCGATGACAAGTAGGGGTGCCATGAGTACTTAAAACAACACAGTAATTGTTGGGGGCCCAGACTGCTCAACTGCTTCCCAGCATACATAAGGGGGATTACTGCAACCAGACCCCTGTGCTGTCTTCACAAAGGGAGCTTGGACAGGCACCTAAAGTCAGTACGTACTTGACAGCCGGATGCTGAGGTCACTTGTCCAGTACGCTGAGGTTAGTGGTCACGATGTGGTCATCCTGTCCCTAACTTTCTGGGATAGTGTGAGGGTGTTACCAAGCACCATTGCTTTGTTTGTAGTGTTTTAGAATCTCCATGCTAAAGTATGAAGAAAGATATTCAACTTCTTAGGAGGAAAATAGGAGGCTGAAGGTTTCAACTAGATGGTGTTTGAGATGGAGCGTTGAGATGTGGGTAGCTGGTGAGGAGGCAGTAGTTACCAGCAATGATTATGGAGAGTGGCAGCTGCTTTAAATGGCAAGTGGTTCACAATTCAGGAAGAAGGATGGATAATAAGGTTAATAAAGATGTTAAGGTAGGAAAACTATTCACGTTTTCCAAGACGAGGTACTTAATGGTTCGTGAGATTAAAGGTAACACTGACACCCCTGCTTATCAAGTAAAGAAAATTCTGATTGTGGGATATTCTCAGGTCAGAAATATTGGTTCCGTGCTTTTTGTAACAGAATAGAAAGGTAAATATATAGGATGTGTCCTCCCAGAGCTGTGTTGGTGGACATAGTCAGCAGATGGATAATATATGTCAGGTAATTGGGAACACGCCCATTATCTTCTTTAAGTGCTGGTAAAATACATTGTGAATGGCAGGAGACAGGAGCTGACTGGATAAGTGGTAGTCAGCCATAGAATATATTATATTTGTAGCAGGTCAAGGAGGGATCCCAATCATATGTAGCATCTTTCCTATAAGGGGATTGGCAATGAATGGATTATCTTGGGCAATTGTGTGTAAAAATTGCTGGCTAGACATGCAGAGGTACTGGCAAGGAACTTGCAATCCCATTCATTGATAACTGGGACATATTCTATGGCAACGTGATATGATATAAAGCAAGGGGATGGGGGTTCATTTCTCTCGTGCTGAGGGGGTTATTGGTGAGGACCATGTCAAGGACTTTAAACTGGTAGATAATTATAAGAGGTTATTGGTGTCTGTGGGAAACAATCAGCTGCAGTACTAGGGTTGAAAACAACAGATATAAACCAGAGTGCCTTCAGATAATGTTTAAAAAGCAATAGTTCAAAAAGTTGCTAGTAAAGACAAAGCAATTTGATCACAAACAAGAAATAAGATAGATGAGCAAAGAAAATTACTTGCAAGATGAGCAGGTAATATAGATATTATTGCTATAACAGAGACCTGGTTCAACTTGAAATGATAGAGAAATGCCTTCTGAATGCAACATACAGGTTATTAACTCTTCAAACTGATAAGGTCAACAGGAAGGGGGTGGTGGAGTGGTGATATATGTCAGGGAATGATTTAAATTGTTGTGTTAGACATGATACAATATATAGAAACATCGGACACAGTATCTGTTGGCTTTCAGTTTCTCGAGGGTCGTTGAAAAGTTAATTTTGGGGTTATTTAAAAGGCCCCCAAACCTTGATAGACATGCAGTAGCTGCTAAGGGACAAAATACATAAGCATCTATAAATGAAAAAGTTTGGTGTAAATGGATATTTTAACTTTAGGACAAATTGATTGGGAACAGTGATGACAGGAAACCTTAGAATCAGTGACATTCTTGATATGGTTTCAGGATTCCTTTTTAAAACGGTTTGTGACAGAACCAACTAGAGGAAACAATCTGCTTGACTTGGTTCTTACCAACAAAGAATCACTAGTTAATGATCTTGAGGTTAATGATGAGCTTGGGAAAAGCAATCACAAATCACTTAGTTTCAATATATCATGGAATTGCCCGGATAACTGCAATCAAATCTCTGTTCCAGACTTTCACTTGGCCGATTTCATGGGACTGAAAAATTACCTGGGTGGGCTAAATTGGGATGTCCTGACTATGGGTCAGGTAGGTGATCTTGGTTGCCAATATGATGTTTTTCAGAGCATAGTTCTAGCTGCCCAGACAACTTTTGTTCCAAGTAGGAAAATTAGATCTAACAAAAATGATCCCAAATGGATGAACAATAGATTAAAACATCTCATTGGTCAAAAGAGAGGCATATATAGGCATATCAAAAGAGGGGATGGGCAGTTAAGAAATCAATAGATTCAATTAAAGAGAGAAGTAAAAAAAGTAATAAGAAAAGCAAAAAGGGATTATGAGGCTAAGGTCGCAAGGGATTCAAAGACTAACCCAAAAGGGTTCTTTCAGGTATACAGAAGTAAGATTAGGGACAAGATTGACCCACTTAAGAGTAACTCTGGTCAGATCACTGACAGTGATAAGGATATGTGTGAAATTCTAAATACCTACTTCCTCTCAGTTTGTACCTAGGAAGATAAAAGACCCGGGTCGGGAGAATACCGGCGAAAAAAAAAAAAAAAGATACTAGTGAAATTCCAGAAATAGTAGATTATGTAGAACAGGATGATAATAAACTGCACAATTGCAGTAACTAGTGATATGGTCCTCAGACGAATAGAGAAATTAAAATCTAACAAATCTCCAGGCCCTGATGAACTGTTTGCAAGGGTGTTAAAGGAATGTAAAGAAGAGCTTAGCATACCTTTGGCTAATCTTTTCAACTTATCACTACAAACTGGCATAGTGCCTGATAAGTGGAAAATGGCAAATGTAATACCTATTTATAAGGCTGGTGACAGGTCCTTACCTTTGAACGATAGACCAGTAAGCCTTACCTGCACAGTGGGAAAATTTATGGAATCAGTAATTGCCGAAGCAATTCGTAGCCATCTTGAAAGCCATAAATTGATTAATGAATCTCAGCACGGTTTTACAAAGGGGTGTTCCTGTCTTACGAATTTACTAACTTTCTTCACTAAGGTATTTGAGGAGGTAGATCATGGTATTGAATATGATATTGTGTATATGGACTTCAGTAAGGCTTTCAATAGAGTTCCACACCAGAGGCTATTGAGGAAACTTAAGGCACACGGAATAGGAGGAGAAATTTTTTCCTGGGTTGAGGTGTGGTTGACGAATAGGCAGCAGAGAGTTTGCATAAATGGGGAGAAATCAGAATGGGGCAAGTCACAAGCGGTGTTCCACAGGGGTCAGTATTGGGCCCCTTGTTGTTCACAATCTATATAAATGACATAGATGAGGGAATAAATAGTGACATAAGCAAATTTGCTGATGACACCAAAATAGGCCATCCAATTCATTCTAATGAGGATGTTAGAGCACTCCAGGATGATTTGAATAGATTCATGCAGTTGTTGGAAAAATGGCAGGTGCAGTTTTAGACAAATGCGAAGTTCTAAATGTTGGACAGGAAAATAACCATTCCACATATAAACTAAATAATGTAGATCTTAATGTTTCGGATTGTGAAAAGGATTTAGGAGTTCTGGTTAGTAGTAATCTAAAACCAAGACAACAGTGCATTAGTGCTCGCAATAAAGCTAACAGAATCCTTGGCTTCATAGCAAGAGGTATAAACAATAGAAGTCCTCAGGTTGTTCTTCAACTTTATACTATATCTTTGGTTAGGCCTCATTTAGATTATGCTGCACAGTTTTGATCACCGTATTACAGAATGGATATAAATGCACTAGAAAACGTACAAAGGAGGATGACAAAGTTGATCCCATGTATCAGAAATCTTCCCTATGAGGATAGACTGAGGGCCCTGAATCTGCACTGTCTAGAAAGGTGTAGAATTAGGGGGGGAATATGATTGAGGTGTATAAATGGAAGACTGGAATTAATAAAGGGGGTGTAAATAGCGTGGTAAAAATATCTAACATAGACAGGACTCACAGCATTGGCTTTAAATTGGAAAAATTCAGATTCAGGAATGATATAGGAAAGCACTGGTTTGGTAATAGAGTTGTGGATGAGTGGAACAAACTCCCCAGTACCGTCATAGATGCTGGGACGTTGTGTAGTTTTAAAAATAGGTTGGATAAATACACGAGTGTGTGTGAGTTGGACCTGACTATCTTGTGCTACTTTGTCGGATGCACTGCTCCTCCCTTAAGTGATGTGTCTGACCTCACTAGGTCAAGGCATTGGCTTTAAGCTGGTAGGAGAATTGGAGCTACCTCACATAGGCCAGTAGGCCCGTTGCAGTTTTCCTTCTTTCTTATGTTCTTATGTTTCTTATGACTGTTGTGTGTGGCCAGCAGCAACAGCCTGATTGATCAGTCCATGATTCACCGCAAGGCCTTGTCATGGACTGGGCCACTGGGGCGTTGACCCTCGGAACATCATTCAGGTATACTCCAGGTGTGAAACTTGCTTACTGTAAGCTAGTTGTGAACTTGTTATAAAATAAGTGAAATTGGGTAAGTTTCTCCAGCAGGAACAAGTTTAAATTGCAATAAGGCCATCCACCAGCAAGACAACTTGACAACATGTAAATTCTCAACTTGCAAACCTGATGCTTTTGTTTATTGCATTTGTTGCAACTAATATTTATTTATAAAAAAAGGTGTTGCTATATACATAAATAAGGAAATTTGGGATTTGGTAATAATGAAAATACTACTTAATAAACTAACTCTCATCTTGCAGCTTTTTAAATGTGTCTTCAAACCAGAACTGTGAACAAAACTTCCTAACTATGTTTGGGTAGGAATGAATGTTAATTAGTAAATCCACAGTTCATGAATCTGCAGATAGTGAAGGAGAAGTGTCTCACTGTTAGTCGATACATAAGTGTAGATTCTATTTGTGGCATATCTTTAGAAAAGAGCACTGGTTTAGTAATAGAGTTGTGGAAGAAACTCCTGAGTATTGTCAATGAAGTAAAAAACTTCGAGTAACTTTATAAATAGGTTAGACAAGTACATGAGTGGGTGTGAGCTGGACCTGCCTATCAGGGATTAGTAGACCTGCTGCTGTGCTCCTTCTTCCTTATGTTCTTACACTCACCTCTCATTGGTTTCCATCAAGAGGCAAAGTTATTTGTGTAGTATGGATTTTTTTTCTACCATAGCCATTTTCCATGAAGGTGCGATGGTCCAAATATGAAAATCCATTCACCATCATTCACTCAATAGCTGTCTTGCCAGAAGTGCACAGACATCACAATTCAGTGGATGTATTTTTTTTTTCAACAAACTGGCCATATCCCACTGAGGTAGGGTGACCTAAAAAGAAAAATTAAAGTTTTTCTTTTTAAATTTAGTAATTTATACAGGAGAAGGGGTTACTAATTCCTTGCTCCCGGCATTTTAGTTGTTTCTTACAACACACATGGCTTATGGAGGAAGAATTCTGTTCCACTTACCCATGGAGTCAGTGGATACATACTGTAATAATTTTTTTTGTAATAATGTTGGTAGATTGTAAAATGGAAGCCTGTAATTGTTTTACATAATTGTAGGATTGCTGGTGTTTTTTTTTTTTTTTATAATTAAATTTAGAATTTGAAAATTTCATTAATTGGTCCACACAATTTTTTTTTTTTATTTAAAAACGGGCGTTTAAAAAAGGGGGAAAAAAAAAATTTCACCATCATTCCCCAAACCGTTTGCCGAAGTTTTTTTTACACTATTTTTTTTAAAATGCCTTAAACCCCTTTTATGACAACTTTTCCCATCCCCAGGATTTCCAACGGCTCTTTTCCCTCCCCCTTCTAAAATTTTTAAAACGCCCCTCAAAAAAATAAAAACCATTCGTCCCCATTCCTCCTATCAAACACGCTCAGCACGCCTGCTGAAGTCCAAGCCCCCCCAAAAAACCCCTTTTCCCCCCCCTCCCCCTTTCCAGGCGGGCCCCTACCCGCCTTCCTTTCCCCTACAGACTGTACACTCTTTAATCTTCTGTTTTGCTCCCTTCTCTTACATGTCCGAACCACCCAACAACCCCTTTCCCAGCCCTCGGACAACAGTTTTGGTAAACCCGCACCCCCCTCCTAACTTCCAAAAAACGAAAATTTCTGCTTATATTCACACCACACTTTCCCTCGACTGACATCTCCACTGCTCCGCCCCTTTTCCCCACTGCAAAAATTCATCACCCCCTGCTTCACACCCATAAAAGTGTTTGGTAAAAATCTCTCATACATTTCCCCTCTTTGCCTCCCAAGGGCAAAGTTCTTTTGGGCTCCACAGACCCTAAGTGCACCATCACCCTTTTCCCCTCATCAATTCTATGATTCACCCCATCCCCATAGACCCATCCGCTGACACGTCCATCCCAAAAATTTGTACATTCCCTCCTCCCTACTCTCTCCTCCAACTGATATCCAATTTTTTATCACCTAATATTTTTGTTATCCCCATAACCTTCTTTTCCCGTATTCATTTTTAATTTTCTTCTTTTGCCACCCCACCAAATTCTCCCCAATCCTAACTTTTTTTCATGTAGTTTTCTTAAATTCAATCATATTTTCACCTTTTTTACCAAGGCTTGGCATTAGGGCTTTCTTTGGGGGCCATGGTAGCTTGTTTAGTACTGCAAGCAAAAATAAATGGAATTTATGAAATATTTTATGGGCATGTGGGGGACCTTCGCTCACTGGTAAACAATCCCGACTGGCTCCGCCACGGCTAAACCCGTGGAACTCCCGGACGAACTACTACTCGCGAGTCAACCTATGAAAAGCGAGCCCATGTTTATATGAAAATATCCCTATGGTTTCCGAAATTTATGCTTGCCGAGAACTACGAAAAGCGAGGGACCACCGTATCTGAATTCATTCACCTCCTCCATACTCTCTCCCTCCAATCTGATATCTAATCTTTCATCACCTAATCTTTTTGTTATCCTCATAACCTTACTCTTTCCTGTATTCACTTTCAATTTTCTTCTTTTACATACCCTACCAAATTCATCCACCAACCTCTGCAACTTCTCTTCAGAATCACCCAAGAGCACAGTGTCATCAGCAAAGAGCAACTGTAACAACTCCCACTTTATGTGTGATTCTTTATCCTTTAACTCCACACCTCTTGCCAAGACCCTCACATTTACTTCTCTTACAACCTCATCTATAAATATATTGAACAACCACGGTGACATCACACATCCTTTTCTAAGGCCTGCTTTTACTGGGAAATAATCTCCATCTTTCCTACATACTCTAACTTGAGCCTCACTATCCTCGTAAAAACTCTTCACTGCTTTCAGTAACCTACCTCCTATACCATACATCTGCAACATCTGCCACATTGCCCCCCTATCCACCCTGTCATACGCCTTTTCCAAATCCATAAATGCCACAAAAACCTCTTTAGCCTTATCTAAATACTGTTCACTTATATGTTTCACTGTAAACACCTGGTCCACACACCCCGTACCTTTCCGAAAGCCTCCTTGTTCATCTGCTATCCTGTTCTCCGTCTTACTCTTAATTCTTTCAATAATAACTCTACCTTACACTTTACCAGGTATACTCAACAGACTTATCCCCCCTATAATTTTTGCACTCTCTTTTGTCCCCTTTGCCTTTATACAAAGGAACTATGCATGCTCTCTGCCAATCCCTAGGTACCTTACCCTCTTCCATACATTTATTAAATAATAGCATCCAACCACTCCAAAACTATATCTCCACCTGCTTTTAACATTTCTATCTTTATCCCATCAATCCCAGTTGCCTTACCCCTTTCATTTTACCTACTGCCTCACAAACTTCCCCCACACTCACAACTGGCTCTTCCTCACTCCTACTATATGTTATTCCTCCTTGCCCTATATATGAAATCACAGCTTCCCTATCTTCATCAACATTCAACAATTCCTCAAAATATTCCTTCCATCTTCCCAATACCTCTAACTCTCCATTTAATAACTCTCCTCTCCTATTTTTAACTGACAAATCCATTTGTTCTCTAGGCTTCCTTAACTTGTTAATCTCACCCCAAAGCTTTTTCTTATTTTCAACAAAATTTGTTGATAACATCTCACCCACTCTCTCATTTGCTCTCTTTTTTCATTGCTTCACCACTCTCTTAACCTCTCTCTTTTTCTCCATATACTCTTCCCTCCTTGCATCACTTCTACTTTGTAAAAACTTCTCATATGCTAACTTTTTCTCCCTTACTACTCTCTTTACATCATCATTCCACCTATCGCTCCTCTTCCTCCCGCACCCACTTTCCTGTAACGACAAACTTCTGCTGAACACTCTAACACTACATTTTTAAACCTACCCCATACCTCTAACATGTACAAGCATATATATGCACACCCCTCAAGGTTTTCTTCTATTTTCTTTCTTGTTCTTGTTTATTTCTGCTTATCTCCATGGGAAAGTGGAACAGAATGCTTCCTCTGTAAGCCATGTGTGTTGTAAGAGGTGACTAAAATGCCAAGAGCAAGGGGCTAGTAAGCCCTTCTCCTGTATATGTTACTAAATTTAAAAAGAAGAAACTTTTGTTTTTCTTTTTGGGCCACCTGCTTAGGTGGGATATGCTCAGTTTGTTGAAAAGAAGAAGAAGAAAAGAAGAAGAAAAAGACAACGTGTAAGGTATGAGGACACATATGCAACTAATGTGACGTTTTACTGTGGCAACGTTTCGTTCTCCATGAGCTTTATCAAGCCATCTGCTTGACTAAGCTCCTGGAAAGTGAAATGTTGCCGCAATAAAATGTTGCATTAGTTGCACATGTGTCCTTTTACCTAAC